AAGGCATGCAACAAAATTAAAAGCCAATAGGTTCTAGTCATAAAAGGAAATATTGTTTACTTAGCATATAATTAGTTCACAGAACTCACTGTCACAGGACACTATTGAAGCAAATATCTTTTTTTAAAGTTAAGACATCTATAGGAATAAGAATATGCTCTTCACTTACATTGGCTGGGATAAAATTAACAAAATACAAATTCCACGTACATGGATCAACTGATGTCAGGAATAAAATTTTCCACATAATATAATATTGCACAATTAAATGCAATTGATATCTTTCCTGTAAAACATCTGGCCTTGGCAACCATTGAGGACAGGGTAAAGGACAACATGGACCTCTGAGCAGCTTCAATATGGCAGGTCCTATGGCACTAAGAATCAAGTAATCTACAAAAAACACCAACACAATGATCTTTAAAAAGAAGTGTTTGATTTTTAAATTCTGATGGGGAAACGCTAGCAATTAAGGTTTATTTACTTATGTATATCTGGGTTGTCTAATGAAGCTGGTTAGTCCCAACAGTAGTGAGGCATAGGCTTAAAGGAAGGCAAGATAAAACAGCATGTGGGAGAATGCTAGTGTTAATGTGCACACATACAGCTCACTAGCTCACCTCCAGCACTTACTGCTAAAGCTATAAATACGAATTGCCAGTTAAATGAGATGAAAAGACAACCTACAACAGCCATACCTGTGGATTCCTTCTTTTACAGGGTCCCTGCTAACTTTATGAGAAACTTAAATACATGTATTACATTTTCTGGAAACATATCATTGAGAACTTGTTAGAATCTGTGACAAGAAACTTGTAGCCTAAGTAACAGCCACACAAATTCATGATTTAAAAACTCAAGCAAATTAGGTTAAGTACAATAACCTTGAGAAGGAGAAGTGTTATATTGAGAAATGTCAGATGTATTTAACAGTAGTTTAATAAGAGCTGTTGTTCAAAAACAGTATTTACTTAGGCAATTATATAATTTTAGTACTGTACCTTCATAAAGTAAACTTATTTAAAGATCCCCTGATGTTAGGAGGACCGTTATAAAAGAAAGAAGATGAAGCTAAATTCAGAAATCACTTTCTTTTAAGTGTGGCAAGAAGTTATAGCTTATAGAAAAAAAATTAAATGGCTATGACTGTTTCAGTGATCACAGTTTTTGTAAATATGAGTCCTTTCAGGAATCAATTGAGTCATAGTTCTTGTGACTTCTCAGACATTAAATGCTAAATTGCTTCAGACTTGGCGAGTGATATTGCTCATTTGGGAATACTAACTTCCTTGTATAATCACCATAATGGTTACAACTGGTTCTGATAACCTTTAGGAGTGTCTCATAACTGCTGTGACAATACCAGACTCTGAGTTTCTAACTGAGATGCACGATACCCAAATATGCAGAAAAAAGTAGAGTATAACTTCAGCAGAATAATCATGGAAACTCCCCTCGAATGAAGCTTCTTATAACTAATGTGATTTTTTTATGCTGCAGAACTATTACAATCACAATTACTGGCATTCTAGAATCACCACTCCAAAAATATTTTGTGTTTTAATCAATTACATTGAATAGGAATAATTCACCTTTTGAAATACCCACTTTCATGAGGATTACCTATTACTGTCCACTGAGCAAACATTTTTCTTATATTTCTATAACAAGGCACTGTGTAGGAAATTAATCACATGTAACATTGTCATGAGGATTTGGTGTAGTGGCTGCCTCTGTTTCCCCCCACCTCTCTTTGGTAGATTACCTTGATCTTTGACTAAGTGCTCTCCTGAGCTGGACCCACACCTGCCCTTAAAGGGACAGCACATCCTGTTACACATTATCCCATCCCCCCCTTTTCTATCTCCAGGGCAGGCTCTCCATAAATTGTTAGAGCCTTACCTACATCGCCCAGCCAGGATGACATTTCCTTTTTAACCTCAACAAGGAAGACTAACAAGAAATGTGTGCTGCTTGTATTCTTCTCATTGAAGAATGAAGTGGTATGGCCATAATTTTCAACTCAGCCTGTACAACCAATGTAATGCACATATTCTTTAGTGTTCATTAGCAAATGAAGGTTTATGATGAGTGCCACTTTTGAAATGTCCAATCCTCCTGTGGCCATGGTGGGGCAGCCAAAATTGGCCTTTACCTGGGTGGAACTGGCAAAGGGCTGACTCATTGTCTGAGAGCACTCTTCATGGATATGGATACAATTATATCATTCACTATAGAGAAAATCCTATAAAGAGTCAGCCCCTTTTGAGATTCTTACAAACATCAAGGTCCATGAATCTTTGCCTGCAACACCCAGAAGATCAAGTGCTTGTTTTCCTCTTCCACCCCCACTATTTTCTCGATTGTGTTCTGAGATGTACAGCCAACTTTGCCTCTCTCCTCTGGTGATGACAACTCCTCCTCTGTAATGCACTTCAAGCGTCTTGGCATTACTCTGCCAGAAGGGTCTCCACCTCAGTGGGAAGCTCGTCCAGCTTCTCCTCCAGCAGCAGGTACTGCTCTCCATCTCTGCCATTAGCCAGATTAAATCCTTCTTTTTCCTCAAGGCCTATGTCACAACCTTTTCTTTTAAGCAGCACATCTCATCCAGCTCCTTCATACACTCTTTTACCTGGGACTGCAGACGGTGGAGTTCTTTGATGGCTTCACCTTATCTTTTATTAGCAGAATGGATCTGGTCTTCCAGACTTGGTTCTCCAGACCGTTCGGCCATCTCCAAATTTTCCCTACCAGCTTCAAGCATGGAAAGCTCTTCCTGCATCTGTTCCAGCTGCTCCAAACCACACTTCAATTTCTCCAGCTCCACTCTTTGCTCTCTGTCTTCCTCCAAAGCTCTGGTCAAGAACAGTCTTTGTCTCATCCTCTCAGGCCTCCACATCAATGCGGCTGCTCTTCTCCACATAGCTATCTGAAAGATTCTTCTCTGTGAACAGTTGTTCTATCTCCTTTTGTTTCTTTACCACATTGGCGATGCTTTGCATCTAGGGATCCAAGTCCCCTTTCAAATAACTTAGCTCTTGCTGCCAGAGCTGTCCCTTGGGAATGGCGAATCAGGGCAACTGCTTTGGGCTCCGTGCTCTGGAGGCCCCTGCACTTCAGTGTGCATGTGTCATGCGGGGACTGTTAGGCTGGCCTGGGGGGTGGGGTTAGAGGTTCAGGGGGCTAAGTCGGCCTGGGGGATTAGCAGGGGCCTGGCGCCAGCAGTAGGGGTTGGGCCTGCACTCACCGGCAGGAAGCGTACGTTGTATTTCTTTTTCTTGCTCGGCATCACGGGGCTCAGTCTCAGTCTCTGGCAGCAGCGACCCCAGCCTGCCCCACTCCACTGGTTCCCGGCATTGTGCGCCGCCACACCGGCCGCCAGTGCCCTAGCGCTGCCAGAACACACCAGTGCCTGGCTGACCGCATTCATTGCACTTCCACCCCAGACCTCTCCCCTTTTCTGGGATCCCCCAGCACAGGGGGCCCCTTCGCCCCAGCACAGGTGCCACCCTGTGACTCTCCATCGTCCCTCACCCCCCAGCACTGGTGTCCCCTCCCCACACCAGATTTCACCTATATAAAATGTTAAGGGGGGCCCATACAGGTTGATTTGCCCCCCACCTCCCTTGGGACAACCCTGCTTACTGCACGTGGGTCTTTTCTTTCCCAACCCTTGGAGCTTCACTGGACTCAGCAAGGTTCTACCAAAGAATGCAGGACTTATTTAAAATGTCATATTTCGGTGCCAGAAACTCGGGCTTGGTCTACACTAGGAACTTACACTGGTATTGCCACATCTCAGTGGTGTGAAAAATCCACTGCTCTGAAAGGCATAGCTATACTGACCTAATATGCAGTGTAGACAGCATTAGATCAACTGAAGAATTCTTCCATCCATCTAACTACTACTTTGTGGGGAGGTGGATTATCTACACTGACTAGAAAACCCCTCACGTCAGCATAGGTAGTGTCTACACAGAAGCGCTACAGCGGGGCTGTAAGAACTTGCAGAGCTGGAATCTGGGACCAAGGGGATTCCGTGCTGCTGATGCCATTACATCTCCAGGGGATGCTTAAGCTGAGCTCCCACATGAGGACCTAGTGAGGAAGTGCCACCCAGGAAGGCCTGAGTGGCAGCCCCTGGAAGCCCTATGATAGAAAGCTGTCTGAGCAACAATGCGGACTGCCTGCCTGTCTCTGCTCCAGACCCTGCTTGCGATAGATCCTCGACTCTGGCTTCCAACTCTGGTTTGTCCTAGGCTTTGGTCTTCAATCGCTGTCTGTAACCTGGAGCCTGACCCTGAGCTCCTGGTAACTTGACCCTGCCTGCCTCCTGATGCCTGACTCTCGGTTTACCCTCTTGGACCTTTAGCTCCCGGTACCTGACTTGGCCTGATTCCTGCTCCAACCACTAGTCTGACTGCCCTTGTTCCAGTTGTGACAGGCACAGCTACATGCTCCTGTAGTATTTTAAGTGTAGACATAAACTCCCAGACTTACAGTGTATCAGCTGCACAACTATTTAGGGTCTACCAAGATCCTCCCGCTACTGACTCCATGCCACAGGGTCATTTCCCTGAGGACCTTCAGCTGTCTTACCTACATGGAATTAGTTTTTAATCTCAAATCTTTGACTTAATATGAATACAAGATTAGGACATTTTTCATGTCACTTTTCCACAGACTGGAAGATTTAGATTCAAGTTATTAAGTAACATTCTATCCTAAAGCCCAGTTTTATTGCACCTAGTGATTTAATGATGCAAAAAACCTCAAAGAAATGGAGAGCTAGTGAGACTATGGCAACATTACCGGTCACTGGCAAGTGATGCCTGAGGTTTAAAGATCTGTGGAATTATTAGTACTTACGATCCATAACTGATATTATTTAGCTTCCAGTTTTGCAGCATTGGTTATTTAAGACAGCATACTAATGTATGTATATCAAACTCTCCAAACACTAAAATATGAACAAAAAGGTTTAAGAAAAATGTGCTTGCCTTTCTGAAAAAACTCTTCCAATTTATCCTTGAAGGGCTGGAGATGCTGTTCTGAAGATTCTTTGCAAACGACTCTCATCTGCTTTTCACAGGCTACAAATAAAAGCGCAAAGTTAGATACTTTAAAACTGAATATTTAACTGACAACTCTTAAATAACCCTATTATTTCAATAATTATATGCCTACTCATTTACTATTCAAACTTTATCAAGCACTGTATATTTCATAATGCATCTGCCTTGCTGAATCTAATAACTGCATTAAAGTTAAAAGTAGCCTCAGCCACAATTGCTGAAGTACTAGACAATCTTTTTTTAAATATAGGTTATATGCAGTAGAATTCAGCTTTTGTAATGACTGCTTGTAATGGGAGTGGGTTGGAAACTAAATTGAAGCCAGTATAGATCATGAAGTACTGGTATAATTTATTAATGTTTGGAAGGAACACCACTCCATCACAAATGGACCACCACAAACTGCCCCAACTGATGTCTGAGTTGTGTTAAGGAATAGTCCCATGAAGTATGCAGTACAGCAGTCTAACACGAAGGTAACAAAGATATGGTGAGGTCCACTTGGTGAGGTCCACTAACTGTGGTGAGGTCCACTTCCAGAAGAAGAGAATGCAACCTTCAGGTCAAATCTAAGTGGTAAAAGCATCTCTTGGCTACTGTTGCTTCCTCGGCATCCCAATATAGCTGCAGATCCAACAGGA